TGTGGTACACGCTGCTGTGGTACACGCTGCTGTGGTACACGCGGCTGTGGTACACGCCGCCGTGGTACACGCGGCTGTGGTACACGCTGCTGTGGTACACGCTGCTGTGGTACACGCTGGTTTTCAAGCTGCGTTCGCCACGCGTTCTTAAAGCTGCCGGACTGCGAACACCGCGCCAGGGCACGCACGGACACTTGCGGACACTTGCGCTCACACACTGGATACGTGCATACGTGGATACGTTAGGATACGTGCAAGCATACGTCCTGCCACATGGAGGGACGCCTGCCACGTGAAGGGACGCTTGCCACATGGAGGGACGCCTGCCACATGGAGGGACGCATGCCACGTGAAGGGACGCTTGCCACATGGAGGGACGCCTGCCACGTGAAGGGACGCCTGCCACGTGAAGGGATGCTTGCCACATAGAGGGACGCCTGCCACGTGAAGGCACGCTTGCCACATGGAGGGACGCCTGCCACATGGAGGGACACATGCCACATGGAGGGACACATGCCACATGGAGGGACGCCTGCCACNTTGTCACGTGTGCCATGACGGCTGCACGTGGACCAGGCACTGCTTAGCTTGTCACGTGTGCCATGACGGCTGCACGTGGACCAGGCACTGCTTAGCTTGTCACGTGTGCCATGACGGCTGCACGTGGACCAGGCACTGCTTAGCTTGTCACGTGTGCCATGACGGCTGCACGTGGACCAGGCACTGCTTAGCTTGTCACGTGTGCCATGACGGCTGCACGTGGACCAGGCACTGCTTAGCTTGTCACGTGTGCCATGACGGCTGCACGTGGACCAGGCACTGCTTAGCTTGTCACGTGTGCCATGACGGCTGCACGTGGACCAGGCACTGCTTAGCTTGTCACGTGTGCCATGACGGCTGCACGTGGACCAGGCACTGCTTAGCTTGTCACGTGTGCCATGACGGCTGCACGTGGACCAGGCACTGCTTAGCTTGTCACGTGTGCCATGACGGCTGCACGTGGACCAGGCACTGCTTAGCTTGTCACGTGTGCCATGACGGCTGCACGTGGACCAGGCACTGCTTAGCTTGTCACGTGTGCCATGACGGCTGCACGTGGACCAGGCACTGCTTAGCTTGTCACGTGTGCCATGACGGCTGCACGTGGACCAGGCACTGCTTAGCTTGTCACGTGTGCCATGACGGCTGCACGTGGACCAGGCACTGCTTAGCTTGTCACGTGTGCCATGACGGCTGCACGTGGACCAGGCACTGCTTAGCTTGTCACGTGTGCCATGACGGCTGCACGTGGACCAGGCACTGCTTAGCTTGTCACGTGTGCCATGACGGCTGCACGTGGACCAGGCACTGCTTAGCTTGTCACGTGTGCCATGACGGCTGCACGTGGACCAGGCACTGCTTAGCTTGTCACGTGTGCCATGACGGCTGCACGTGGACCAGGCACTGCTTAGCTTGTCACGTGTGCCATGACGGCTGCACGTGGACCAGGCACTGCTTAGCTTGTCACGTGTGCCATGACGGCTGCACGTGGACCAGGCACTGCTTAGCTTGTCACGTGTGCCATGACGGCTGCACGTGGACCAGGCACTGCTTAGCTTGTCACGTGTGCCATGACGGCTGCACGTGGACCAGGCACTGCTTAGCTTGTCACGTGTGCCATGACGGCTGCACGTGGACCAGGCACTGCTTAGCTTGTCACGTGTGCCATGACGGCTGCACGTGGACCAGGCACTGCTTAGCTTGTCACGTGTGCCATGACGGCTGCAC